CGCTCCCCCGGGGGCCGGGGCCCGTCTCTGCCACCTGTCTCTCAAGTTGGACCCATCTCTTCCCCTCCTTGTCCTTCCCAGCTCGGCTCCCGACCCCACAGCTCGGTGTGTTCCCACAGCAGCTGGGCTATGTTGCTGGAGAATCGATCACCCTGACGTGCTCAGCCGCGGGGGCGCCCAACGACTCCATGATCCGCTTCTACAAGGACGACCAGACACTGCTCCCCGAGGAACTCTGCCTCCGCCTGCACCAGGCCACCGCCTCCGTTCGGCTGTCGGCGCCGCCGCAAACCAGCACCTACACCTGTGGGTGCTGGAGAGTAGAGTCCGGGCGAGAGATCGAATCGGAGAGGAGCCGACCCATTTCCATAGCAGTGACGGGTGAGCCCCTCTGTCTGCTGGGGTCTGCTCGCCTGGGTGGGGTCTCTCCTCCAGCCATGGGGAGATGCCGCTTGGTCCCTCAGCACCACAGCAGGACCCACCGGAGGCAGTTTCTACCCTGTCTCGGCAGCATCATGCCCATGGGCTCTGCTGGGGCTGGAGGGGGCATCAGAGCTGTTTTATGGTCTCTAGTGTGGTGCCTGGTGCCAAGGGAGTGGCAGGACCCCCCACTCTTGCTCTGTGTAACACCGGTGGCAGAATCCACCCTGGGACCTCTCAGCCTCAGTGCGACCACATGGGGCCGTGCCCCCCCAGCCAGTGTGTGAATTCCACATGCTCTGGGCAGCCCAGCCCAGCTAGGGAGTCCCTCACAGAGAGACCCTGCCCCCCTGCGGGATAATGTGGGCCCAGGGCAGGGCTGGGGTTTAGCGAGGTGCAGGGCATGTCCCACAGAGAACTCTCCAGCCCCCTCTAGCTCCTGACACGAGTTTGGCCTGGTAACATCTGCCCCTCTGCTCCATCCCAGGGCCTGAAATGACCCAACCCGGCTCCCCCTCCTCTGTCTCTCTGCTGGATCCAAGTTGGGGCACCACAGTGTATCTGAGGGAAGCCACCCATCTCCCAGCTCAGATCTCCCTCATTTCTGTGCCAAGACCCTCTGGATCCTGAAGTGAAGCAGGAGGCTCTGGAGACAGAGCGTGGGTCTGCTCTGAGTACATTGAATTCTGGGCACCAGCTCCACTTTGTCCCGCGCTGACCCCTCCCTTTTCCTGCTCCCCACAGGTTCCTCTTCCAAGCTGGCACCGAGTGGGGATCCCCCGTCTGGACCTGTGAGCAAAGGGCCCCCCCTGCTCCTCACCTGCACGGCCCCCGGGGACACCGGCGAGCGGAGGTTTCACTTCTACAAAGACGGACTTGAGATAGTCCCCAGGGGCGCAGGGTCTGAGATCGACGCAGGGGAGCCCAGCTCTGGCTCTGTGAACGTCCCTGTGACCCGCGTCCTCAAGGCCGGTCCCAGCAATATGGGCGACTTCACCTGTGGGTATGAGAAGAATGTGAGCGGGAGGTGGGTCCCGTCCCCCAGGAGCCAGTCTGTGAACATCCCCATGAGTGAGCCCAGGACAGGTGAGGCATCCCTAGCTCCTTCCTTCAGCTTTCTGGGTGGCTCCCATTGGAAGAATACGGTCCTACCGAAGTCTCCTGGGAAAAGGAGGTGGGATGAGGTGAGAGGTACAG